ACACCTCAATCTGCATACAGGTTTTGCGACTGTGAATCGAGAAGCAACTATTATATTCAGAAACGGGTCAGCAATGGTAGCTTCCACATTTTTGATGGACTGTAAGGGCCTAGTTACATGTGACTTTTTATGCTTTGCAATGCATTTTGATACATTTTACGTTTGTTATATACTGTACGTGGCACCATTCATCCCTAATAAATAGTCACCTGCTGTAAATTGCTCTAAATATACAGCAAGCAGGATTTCATTAATAGTGGTAGCACACTAAAGTGTGTAGATGTTTTATGGTAATAGCACACTACTTATGTAAGGACTGCATTTATACATTAGTTCTTGGGGTGACTGTGAGTTCAGCTTTAATAAAAAAAATTGCTGCAACAGCTCAGGCTCCTCTGGGTGTTTTAAAGCAGACAGTCGGCACAGCATCACCTCTGGGAAAATGCAAAAACTCCCACTAAAGCATGTTCAGGTTATAGGTGTTCTTTGGGGATGGGCAGAGTGTTCAATCCTTTAGGAATCCAGGTCTGCTCTGTAGATGATGAGAACTTTCATAACTTTAATAATAATGATAGCAATAGGTAAGACTCTCAGTGAAATTTGCCAAACATCCTTGCAATATATGTAAATGACAAGGGCAGGTAAATTTTTTTGTTTCAGCAAAAGTAAAGCTACACTTTAATAGACGATCACTTAGAAATTTGTATTTAGACTGTAAGTTCCAGTGGGCAGGGCCCTCCTAACCATCTTGTTTTGAATTGTGTTGTAACTGTAATAGCTTCCTTATATTGTAAAGCGCTGCACAAACAGTTGGTGCTATATACTGTAAATCCTGTATAATAATAATAATATTGATGAATAACATCACATTAACTAGCATTTATCACATATACCTAACCTGTGTATTTTATGTACCATGACATTATACAGAAGTAAGTCTGACAATGTGCAGAACCAACCTTCTTCTCTGCTGACAGCGACTATAGGACTCATCAGCTCTAGGCCCGAATCCCCATTAGCGGTGACTGCTCTGGCAGCACACTGTACCCTGGAGCCAGCATGGAAATAGATAGAATCTAGCGTGATTGACTTTGTATCAGTGAAGAATGTATTGGAATCCACCTCTCGCATAGGACTGGTCACCCCATCACTGCCACTTGGAGCACTGACCAACCAGCGGTACTGAGTGAGCGTGTCATTGATATTCTCTGCAGCACAGATGGAACCGGTCTTGTCAAATTCTGAATATTTGGGATTACATGCCTGAAAAACATTTTATAAAAGGAAAGTACTGTGAATAAACAAGTGTGAAGGTTAAACTGTACAGTTTATACCAATGAGCCATGCTCAAAGCACATAAACAAAGGGCCACAAATGTCAGACTTTATCATACAGGATTTGATTAAATGTGTGTATCATTAAGAATTTAGATGTCATTACTGGTAAATAAAATGTTCTCCCCGTGAAGATTTATATATTACATACAATTGACAGAGTAGAAGATGGAGATTACAGTTCTTAAAGACTGTTACTGCAGGCAGATTCTAGCAGACAATAGGCTCCATTCACAAAACAAGCAAACCAGAATAGAATCCTTATTTTCAAAAAAGTTAGTTATTTTCAGCTGAATCAAATTTGAACATTTAGGGCCAAGTCATACCAACCGCTGCACTAAATGCACAGTGACTGTTATGTGGTGCCTAACCCAGTGCCAATGTGCTGTGTTAGTAGAACTTTATTGAAATGTCATAAGTGACATTTCATTCAGTTCTATGGGCACATCGGGGTGCAAGGTTCCTTGTTGCATCCCACTGCATTGAAAAAAAGTACAGCACGCTGTACTTTGTTTTTAGCACACACTACCATGTCCCCATTGCAATGCAGTGGAACTGATCCCGTACCATGACAAGGCAAATTGCTTTGCCTTTCGTTGGGGCTGCAATGAAAAGAATTGTCTTTTTTGATCCTCTGTAATCAGGGGGTTATCTTATTGGACCGGACCTGTGGTGTAGGTTAACCCTGTTAGTGGAGAAACACCTTGTATGATCTTACTTAATATATAAGGTCCATCTTATAAGGTGAAAGCCTGTCCATTAAGAGTGGGGTAGTATGTAGCACCAAGGGTGTGTTTGCACAAGACAAAATTGTTGGCAGAAAGTTGTAAATAATCACTGTATTGTGCATTTGGACTTGTGGCTGATAACTGTTTCCTTATTTTGCATATATAGATTTTTTTAATTTATATTAAGACAGACTGTAAAAGCATGTCATTATTTTCACTTTGCACTAGTCTGCAGTATCATATTTCACCAAAAAAAAGAATTTTGATGATACAGTGGATGTTTGTATCACTTTGTACTTCTGTATGGTACCATATTGCACAAACAGATGTTTGTTTTAAAGTTAAAATATAGCACTTAACCACTGCACTTAATATATTGTATTTTAGTTGGTGGTTATTTTATATAAGATTAGAGTACTAGCAAACTTAGTTTGGGGTACAGTTGTTTTACGGAGAGTGCATGAGTCTTATATATTATTATATATAGTTATTATTTTATTATCAAGGCAACCTACATGTATTTAGCTATGTAAGTGCTATATGGTTTATGTTATATATGAATATTATTATTTTAATTTTATATTTGTATAAAGCAACATCTAATACTTACCGTCACACACACTACAGGGTAACCAGTTGGAGGCTGTGGATTGTCTTTGGATTTGAAAGCGTCATCATATAACAAAAGAGAGACGACTTGGGGTACTGCTGGGAAGGTGACATCTGCAACACTGTCCATTTCTTCAATATACACGATTGCTTTGTTCATCTGAAAATATAAGTCATATATTGTACATGACCATGGCGGTCCTTAGAAACGACATTTCAATCACTACAACTCTGTAATGGCAGAACAAAAATAGCCACATACTGATGGCACCTATGCATGATATCCCAAGAGACTAGTATGTTAAATTATTTGCAAACCAATGGAAATGTTATAAAATTCTAGGTATTTGGTTTGCAGATCATCAAGTAGGCAGTCTTACTGCCTTGTAAGCTTACATGTCACTCTTCATTCTCTGTATAGAGTTTAAACGTATAGGTTTCCTGATACACATTAATCACAATTTGTACTTATCCTTAGAAACAATAATTATTGTTTCTAAGGATAAGTACAAATTGTGTTTAATGTGTATCAGGAAAAAACATTATAATGTTTTCTCAATATAAAGTATGTCATATAATGCAGGATAGACATCTCTAGATGGCATGTAGACTTTGTTTAATAATACAAACTTTGTTTCAGTGTTTGTAGTGAATTACATTTTATTATATATTCTCAAAATACTGCATATCCCTTTATATATATATATATAGATCTATATAGCTATAGAGATCTATATATCTATAGATCTCTATAGCTATATAGATCTATATATAAATATATAGATCTATATAGCTATAGAGATCCATATATATATTTTACTTTTTTTTTAAGATCCACCTGGTCTCCCTACCTTACGAGAACTGGAGTGAATCCTCAGCCTGGGGTCCAGTGTGGGCTGCTGTGCTGTGACAGAGCTCCATCCATATGTGCATTGCTTGTACAGCTCCCTTGTGGGCCCTGTAGAGGTGCTGGGAACCAGAATGTGATGTTCAGGCACCTCACAGGACAAAAGAGGGAGCTGTAAGCAATGCATGTATGGATGAAGCTCCCACACAGCCATACCCCCAGCTCACCCCACCTCAAGCTGACACTCGGCGCTGGGCAGCCTATTTTGCATATTTTGAATGGCTGCTCAGCGTGAGAACTGACAGTGCTGCGCTAGAGGGAGGCTGAGCCTCTCACCTAGCGCAGTGGAAGAAATGCCGCAAACCACTAAACATGGGGCGATCCACCAGTTAAGAATCACGGGTCTAGAGAGCTCTTGAAATTTGGTACAGTATACACAATTTACTGTACCAATTGACATCACTTACTCCTGACCATGGCTGTTTTTGCCATAATGGTACTCAAGGGACCAATGCCTAAGGCAGCAAGGATGCAGGGGGCAGCACCAAACCTCAATATTTACACATTCTTTCCTTTTTTTCTGTTTCCCTCTCCTGACCACCTCTGGGCATATATGGCTAACTTCTGCCAAAGAACTGTAGGGGGAACAGGGAGCAGGGGATGTTGAGAGTCGGATTTGTAGGAGAGAAGGATTTCTCTTGTTCAGGAAACATGAAATGATCTCTCCTTTTTCTTCTTTACTATTTTTTTACATTTCCAAAGAACACAAAAGACGGAACTTGTACAAAACATATACCTGGGAATGCACTAACTACTTTTTGCTTCTGCTTAGAATAAAACTGATGCAGCCACAATATGGCATTGTTGAGTTTGTAGCTGCTGATACAATTATTTTTTATGCTATTATAAAAACGTTCTTTTTCATACATTTTCTTGTTCTGTCGTTTGGTAGCAAGTCACTCTTCTGTCAACTACATACCTGAGTTTCAGCTACCATGTTGTCATCAGGCTTCAGATGAACAGTGAAAGCTTCGCGCATCTCCCTTTTGCCATCATATAATATTTCTATTTCGATAAAGTGTTCTGTATCCCCTTCTTTAAATTCAATATCTGTTGAAAAGGGCATATATGCTGAAGGTTGTACAAGGCTAATTGGAGAAGACGCACATCTGTATACAGGATACTGTGTAGAAAACCTGATTAAAACAAAGTATACAGCTGTTGCCCTTAGCATCCAGTAAGAGTCATTATTTTTAATATATGCTCTATGCTGCACAATTTACAGCTTTATTCTGAATGGTTGCTATAAGTCACACCTCCACTTTTACTTCTTCCATTTGAAGCGGTCTGCACAATATTCCCATTATAAGTTATCCCTGGAAACATAATGTAAGAGATCTCATACCTTCAGAGAGTGGATTGTAGTCTTCACCAGAGGTGGCTGAGCCGTCCTTTGTGTGGATTCTTACAACAGACACTTTAGAACTGTCACCCATGCGCAGTACAGGAATCTTCACTACAGTGGTTTCTCCAGCCTCCTGGGGCTCTTTTATACTGTATTTAACCTCTGAAAATCTAATGATGGGTTCTGTGAAAAAAGGTGATAGAATTCAGATTAAATTTTTTTGCCAGACAGTAAATAAATTGTAAAATGCCAAACCTATCCAGCAAACACTGCAAATGTGCTTAACTCACAAAGTCCATTCAGTTGACCTTACTTTGAGCTTTGTAATTTAGTCCAGTCACACAGATGGTTATTCCTATGAATTGTGGAAGGGTCTATTTTCTGAATCTGTCCTGTGCAATTTCCTCTCTCTGGTGTATCACCAATCAGATTCAAACTTACAAGACTGATTATGATTGGCATTAATTACAAAATTCTCATTACCAGCTGGGTACACAAGGCATTCTATATGAGAGAGAGAGAGAGAGCAGTGGGTGTGTTTCAGAATTTCTCTGATTAGATTGCAGTGAGGGGGAGTGGTCCAGTAAGTTACACCCTAAAGTAGGAATGTACTGATACCGTTTTTTTGGTATCGAGTACCAGTACTGATAAGGCCTCTTTATTAAATGATGTATGCAAAATTGGAAATCAATAACTATGATATATAAGGAGCCTTTTATGTTGTTTGTACCATGCTTGCTTTATTACCCTCTCTGCCCACTTTTTCAATTAAACTACTTAATACTCTAACAGTGCACATGATGTTATTAGAGAAGAACTCTGGGCACAATTGTTATTAACCCTGGCAGTGGGGCTATCCCTGCACTGCATGGGTTAACTGCTCGTTTTTGTCTAGGAAGGAATGTAAAAAGGTTATACTCACCCGATGCCCTGAGCTGGCTTACTGTTAGACCGATACTTTCAGCCTCTCTCCCCTTCCCTACAGCGGTCTAAGGTTCCTGAGTCATCACATTCTATACACTGTGCATAGAACATGAGGATGACACTGTGCATAGAACATGAGGATGACACGGGATAAACCATTGCGGCAGAGAAGGAGAAAACAGGAAGGAAGGAGCGCTGCCACAACTGGCCGGCTCGGAGGATTGGGTGAAGGTATAGCTTAGTGAAATATTCTGAGTAAAACTTGTCATTTTGGTACTATGAATGTTAAATTACGTTGCTGCTTAGAAAAAAAATAGTTAAGTTCCTGCTGCACTGCATCACCTTGATGTTCAAGGCTGCTAGTTCAATATGCACTTCCTTCTAATATATTGCAAAACTATATCTATAGTTAATATCTTGATTTAAAACAGCTAGTCATTGTTAGTATGTTTACACAGTTTTTCTACACTCTTAATCTATTATGAGCTAGAGCTGATTCAGTAAGCATTATAACAAACTTAGCAACTCACTGTCTTCCAGATCCTTTATTTTCATCAGTGTCTCCTTCTGTTCTCCAATTGAAGCTCCGAAGCGTGACTCACTCTTTGGCGTTCCAAGAAGAAGTCTGAATTCTTCTTCCTCCTCATAAATGCTATCATCCACGAGAGTCACCACACATGGCTTCTCACTCTCACCTGTGATTACAATGCCATCTCACAACGTATTCTCAAGGAAGAACATATAATATAGACACTCTACTTTGCCACTTTGAAGATTCTTTAGTTTCATCATATGATACATCCTTCATGGTTAATCATACATGTAAAACTGGCCGGACACTTTTACTGAAATAACTGATAAACAGAATACTACACAGCACTATGGATGTGTATTTTGGGCACCCAAAACTAAAGCTTGATGTGCACTTTTAAGGGTTCATAAACAATGGCGTAATTTGTGGTCTGTTGTGGTGTACTGCTTTAAAAAAAAAAGGGGTTTAATGCATTGAGGTGCAATGCCAGCTCATTCAAAATGAATGGACTACCTTAATGAGGCACTCTGTGATGCACAATAACGTGCAGCATTATTTTACATGCATTAACGCAATGTGTAGTGTGAAGGGGCCCTTAGGAGAAGAATTGTTTATATTGAGAACTTATCCTGCAGGGTGTATAGTTTTATAGCTGATCATGGTCTAGCTAATACATTTAAAAGATGATGAATGAATGATATAATCATGATAAATATATCATTATTTAAAAGCATCTAAAAAGATTTAGAAGCACATGTGATGCACTGATAATATCACCTGGCAAGAATACAACTGTTGAGTCATCATTGTTTGGCCTCTCTTCGTAATCCATTGTAACCTGTGCAGAGCCCTGGCGAGTGTAGCATCGCACTGTAGATTTATGGCTGACATCACCACTGCGGTAAATCATTGCTGTTACTTGCTTGTCCTTCTCATTCACAATGTAAATGGACTCCTTGAACTGCACCTTGGGTACTGGAAACAAGATGTTATATATGTTCAAATAATACACAGGTAGCCTGTTTACAGGTTAGACTCTATATATAGCAAAGCCCTTTTATGGTAGTTAAGTAAATGTGGTTTGTTTTCTAAGCAAGGATAGAATGAGGGCTTTAATTTCACAATTACTTGTTGAAGTCTTTCCAAGAGCAAAAGGAATCCAAGTTCATTACAACTGGATCTTATTAGAAGTCTCTTAGCCTAAAACATCACATAAAGCTTTAACAATGTGTTCTACAAATGTATCATAGCTCAAACAGATACAGCCTATAGATTTTAAATGTAAGTATCTACTTCTATATACATAGAGTACTCCTGCTACACATACATCTAGACTCTCATGATTATCATTAGGCTGCCCAAACCACTTACTCAACACAAAATTAGACACTTCTGTAAGTTTTCTGCTCATAGTGGCTAGCAGACCCCATTAAAGGAAAGCATCTACAATTATATGGCTACATGAAAGCATGTGGTGGCTTGCAGTAGCAACATTATAACCTACTAACCATGATGATATAGGAATATTTTAGGTGCAGTGGACCAGCAAGTGGAGTCTTGCAGCATGGGCCTCTGTAGTCTCAGACTGACTCTAGTTAAAACCACACTGATCTATGTTGCTGGGCCATTGGCAGAATAACTGCTTACCTCTAAAAATGCCTTTGTTCAAATTATGCTCAAAACAAATATACTGTATATAATTTGTCTCAACATTCTGTGATTACTCAATTTCAAATAACTCACAGTCAGAGATGGTGTCATTAATGGTGATGGTTGTTTTGCTTGGTTCCCCCAGAACAGCATTTACAGGCATACGAAGGACCAGTTCAAACTTTTCTAGACCCTCTAAAGCTGGTTGGCCCAAGTCATCAAGGATGGTCACTCGAAAGCTTTGCATGTTTACCCCAGGAGCAAAGTCCAAGTTTCTACTAATTCCAACATAGTCTGTGCCAGCTAAACGGAAACAGAAAGATAGCATGAAATAATTTTGAAAGATAAATGTTCACCAAAACAAGCTATATATGTCTGTAAATGTTACAAAAATATGTAAATGTCACTGAATATGATCATTGTATACAAAGTATCACTGTAATACTAAATATATTTCTACTCACCATCAGCAGACAATGGCTCTGTTTTTCTGGAGCGTACTGTGATGGTGGCTGCTTTGGAGAGATCCGTTCCTGTTCTCCGGACTCGAACTTCCACATAACCAGCACTTTCATCCACATGATAATCGGTGTCGGCAAAGTAGAAGGCAGGTTCTATGGACAAGAGAAAATACATTCTGTTACAACTTACTTTTATACTAGTTATCCTACACAGGCAAAGCAATTGTTATATACATTTAGAGTGAAACCTTTAAAATATAATGGAAACATAAACATGTGGTTCAGATTCCTCATATCTGGGTAATGATGTGGCTGCTGAATTATACATGGACATATATAGATTTGAGCTATTTTTCAATAAAGGGCTAAAACATTAGACACAATCACAATTCGGTGGAATAAGACCTTCATCTTCTCTGTAGCTCCCACCCTCTCAAAGACTGACAACTGTCAGACAGAGGTTGAACAGAGTAGGCACAATAAGGTGGTGGTGGTAGGAGGGTGGTAATGATAATTAAGATGGTTGGAGTTCCCCAAATTCTATGGTTTTTGGATCACAGTAGAGATCCTTGATTTCCAAAGGTTGTAAGAATTTTTGGATTGTCATGGAGCACCCTAATTTCCAAAAATTGCAACCCCTGTCCCTTCACACTAATTTGATACATAGGAAAAAAACGCCATTTTCCCTCATTTTTATTTGCAGACCTCATACACTTGTGCAAAAAAATTCCATTCTAAAGACTTTGCAGCATGAGACTATTGAGTGTTTGAGAAAACATTTTGCATTAGCTTGATGAAAAAGTATTGTGAGCTAAGAACTTAATACAGGCACTTTGTTATACTGTGAAATACACATGATAATATAATAAAGAATATATTTGTATATTGTGTGGACACAGAAACTGTGTTAGTGTCAATCATGAGTATTGACATGCGAATAGGTTCTAATGTCAAGGAAACAGTTAAAGAGAGCAGCTTAAATCTTCCCACTCTGTATTCTAATGCTGTAAACCAAGCCCAAATTTTTAATAGATAATTGGGAAAAGCCTTGCACTTCAAGTCTGGGAAAAGATCGTAATGAGGAGCAGATCAGGGAAGGTCACTTTTTTGTGTTTTGGAGAAATCATTATACATCACAAGACTAAGTTAAAAATGCTAATCGGCCAACTGTGCAGTACTTAACCACAAACAATGGATAAAAAAAGAGATGAATCTAGAAGTGATTATATCACACATCCAAAAAAGTTTTCAATCTCTAAAATATTATTACAAGTTGTTTTAAATAAATAAAAAAGTTAAATGTAAATATCAAATGATATGGAAAAAAAAAGGTTCTTAGCGTCATAACTTTTATTTTTTCATTGGTGGAATAATCATAACCTATTATATGTTGCTACACAGAAGAATAAAAGAATTATTTCAAAGCTGATTTTATCACACAGTGTTATTTTTTATCACTGTTCAAACAGAAGTGATAAATACAGTGTACAATTCCTCTGTAGTCTGTAAGAATGCATCGTAGAGTGCATTAAGGTAAAAACCTCCCAGTACCTTTGTCTCACCCCTGTCCCCCCCACACTTACCTGTCACCGCCACCAGTCCCAAAGTTATCAATAACCTAAATCAGTCAGTTGCCATATATGTTACTTTTTAGTTGCATGGCCATACACAATGAGGTCTGGTATAAATTGGGTGGGGAGAAGCACGCTGTTTTATTTTTTTTATTGTTTCTGTAGACTGTCAAAAGTTAAAAATAAAAATGTCACTTTATTTTTCTAATGTCACTTTGCTGCAATGAAAATTCGTTTGTAAATAGGATTTAACTCATCCGAAATTAATGAAAATTTTGGATCTGTCTGAATCCAAATACTGAACCGAGTTGACTTTCAAACTCGAATCCCGAAAAACAAAATAACGAAAAATCCATAATGAAACAAACCGAATTTTAATGCCGGCGCACATGTCTATCAGATCTCATGCCATCAACTCTCCACATATATAGTATATTTTTACATGTAGATGATCATTATTCTATATATATAATCAATTTTACAACTATGTAATCCCTATAAAGCAGCATTTCTCTCTTTTTTCAGTCACAGCATCCTTTAAGGTATACAAAATGTTCAGGTAGCCCAGTCTAAAATGTAACAGATTTTAGAAGGGGGGTACTCAAAGATGCACCAAAAAAGTGCGGTTGCCCCCTTTACATTAAAGCCGCCCTTCACATTAGTAGCACCTCTTCACATCAGAATCCTTTTACATTACAAGCCCTGCTTTATATTAAACCCCCCACTTCCCATCATGATCCATATTCACATAAGGAGCCTCTCTTTCACATTAGAAGCCCCCCTTTACATCAGAGTCACCACTTTACATCAGGATCCTCCCTTTGCATTGAAGCCCCGATTTTACATCAGAGTTCCCACTTTACATTAAGAGCCCTATTCACTTCAGATTCCTCCTTTACATCAGAGTCCTCAGTCCCCTGTTCATTTTAGAGTCCTATCATCACAAAATGTCAAGGCACCCCTGAGGAAGCCAGAAGGCACCCACATGTGCCATGGCACCCTGGTTGAGAAAGACTGTTATAAAGTGACCAGTTCATAGCACCGCTACTAAGCAAAAGATAGTTTTGTATAACTAAATTAATTCATTATCATAAATTTAAAAAAATTGATATTTTATATCAAGAAAGGGTTAGTAGCGTGATAAAAATCATGGTCGGTGCCTAAAAGCTTGTAACACTAGAAAGTAAAAGTTATGATAAAAATAATTTGCACATATACAACTTATGAGTCCATCTGTGTATAATGTCAACTTCTAGTTATCTATCCAACTATTGAATGCAGTTGACTGTTCTGCTTTTTAATCTGTCTCAGACATTTCCACCATCTACACACATTCTCATTTTACTTTGTTGTTTCTGAAAAAGAGTCATTTACACTAATCCTCAAAGGAGTCCATGAAAGTGGCCTAAGAAAGCTTACCTTTGTTGCGTGTCTACAGGGGATGCAAACCTTTTCTTTTTACCTTGCCCTTCAAGTAAGTCTTTGTACGCTGATTGAGTGTGTGGTATAGAGCATAAGCAGGAAATTTACGATTAGACCCACAATTCATGAGATCATGTTCCCAAGCCCAGGTGCTTCTTGCTCAGCCTTAAAGGATATGAAAAGGCCTGGACCTCGAATACCCCAAATAAAATATACAATAGTTGAACAATGGCACCAGTCAACTTGCCCCCCCCCCCACCCCCCACCAGCATAAAATAAGCATTTGCAAGAAAACTATTCATGTAGAACCTGCATAGCTGTTCAGTTCATTTTGTGCGAGATGTTTTTATATGTTGTCTACAAGAAAGGACATGAATACAAGTTTATTAAATTTACCTTCTCTTATTCATTTTTAACCACAAGAAAGGTTTCCAGCTAAATAATGAAAATTCCAGGTTTTATGTATAATAAAGATTGTTAATATTATTTTTTGTTTCCTTATTAGCTGTTTTAATACAATTGTGCCATTTTCTTGTTTGTACAACTAATTTGTAATTTCTTTCAATGCACCTTAAAGTATATTTCCACTTTTGCAGCCAAATTGGTACAACACCTAATTTATATTTTGTTACATGTTCCCATTCACTTAGCATAACTTAAAAAAAAAATTGCAGCTTACCTTTTTAGATGTTCTTTGTGCTCACTCCAGGACTGAAAAATCCTGCTTGGTTCTCACTGTCTGTGGGGTTGGGGGTAGTTTTGTTTCAAATAATTAACCCTGTATGTACTGTGCTGGCAGATTTTATTATGACTTGTAAAATAGATGAACAGGACTGTCTGTCCAAACAGAGTTAAAGACCTGAAGACATTGTATGTTAATGAGAGGGGAGCTTCTTTTTGGATAGACAGAGTTTCCTGTTTCAGAAATGCCATGTGAAATAGAACAAATACATAGGTGTAGCTACAGGGGGGCAATTGCCCCCCCCTGTGTTATGCCTTGCCCCCCCGTGGGCCCCCCACCGATAAATTAAGTCCCTGAGAGCAGGTGCAGTGGCTCCCTCCCTCTGCCACCTCTCTGCCGCCTGCACCGCTGCTCCCGGCCAGCCTGCCCGCAGCAGATGCATCTCTCTAATCGGGTAGCTGCTCACTCCTCAAGGGGGGTTTCAGGAGGCCCCATCGGGCAGGCCTCTAACATGCATGATTAGAGGGCTGCGCCTGGCTGATCCAGCCCAGATCGCATACAGAAGCGATCCGGGCTGGCTGGATCAGGCAGACATGGCCCTCTAATCAGGCATGTTAGAGGGCCTCCTGAGGCCCCCCTTGAGGAGCGAGCGGCCGCCCGATTAGAGAGCCGCATCTGCTGCGGGTGAACTGGCAGCTGCAGCCACAGCAGAGCCCCCACTAACAACTAGGAAGCCACCAGGGAGTCCCCACTGGCCAACACAGAGCCCCCACTAACTTCCAGGGTCCAGGGATCCCCCACTAACCACCAGGGAGCCCCCACTGGCCACCACAGAGCCCCCACTAACCAGCAGGGTCCAGGGAGCCCCCCACTAACCACCAGGGAGCCCCCACTGGCCACCACAGAGCCCCCACTAACCAGCAGGGTCCAGGGAGCCCCCCACTAACTACCAGGGAGCCCCCACTAACAACTAGGAAGCAACCAGGGAGTCCCACTGGCCAACACAGAGCCCCCACTAACTTCCAGGGTTCAGGGATCCCCCACTAACCACCAGGGAGCCCCCACTGGCCACCACAGAGCCCCCACTAACCAGCAGGGTCCAGGGAGCCCCACACTAACTACCAGGGAGCCCCCACTGGTCACCACAGAGCCCCCACTAACCACGAGGGAGCCCCCACTAACCCCCACGCAGCCCCCCCT